ATGCTAATATAATCATTATACATAAGGTATTTTTTTATTGATACTCTCTACTGACCCAAAAAAAAAAAAAAATATATAATTTATCTATAAAAGTTTTAATAAATATAAGTTTATTAGCATAACATTTAATGTTCATATTTGATAGTAATCAACATATTATTTTTTTTTTAGATTTTACGAATACATTTCCATTACAGTATACTTCACATTGTCATAAAGTTCTTTGGATTTATTCTATTAAATATATTTTTTAAATATTAAATTTTAAAATTTTCTATTTTGAAAGTGATTGAATTAATTTGTTTCCTTTAAGTATGATTTTATTTCACCAACATGAGATTCTGTACTATACAAAAACAATAAGTTTATCTCTAAGAAGTTTGATGTTGGCCATTCGAATAAGATTATTGTTACTTCGTATGTTTCAATAAATATTTTTTATACATTTAATAAAGATAAAAATCAAAAATAATTAAACATTTTTTTTTTTAATAATAATGAACAGTAAATAGAGACTATTAGAAATTATAATCATATTTTAAAAGAAAAAATTATATCAGTAATTATATGACTTAATTTCAATTCTTAAATCAGTGTTCATTTTTATACTTTGGAAATTGTATGCATGAATACGTGAAATGCTCTACAAGACTTAGTGTTATTTAATATATTGCGATTCTAACGTTAGGGAATATTATCAATGTAAGCATGCATTTTAATTAGATACACATGTCTCATTGTCTTTCCAAATAATTGAAAACTTAAATTTTTTTTCATTTTCCCGTCATCATTATGTTGGACATTTTTTTCATGTTTGGAATTTAAAAATATTTAGATTATTACAACACTTTCAACTCTTTTCGTACTACGTATTAAAAAAAAATATATTTCTTAAGAATTTTTTCTCAGTAAATAACTTTTTTGAGCAGATTCTGTATTTTATATTCTATAAGTAACACATATCATTATTCTTAATTATTTTATTTTGTAAACATCGAAAGGTCTTGAGTTTGTGGTTCGTATACAAAAATGTATTTTTGTATCAATAAAAAACTCTGATGCCTAATAGTCTTTATGAACGTAAAATTATTATTTTGACCAATTACAATATTTTTTGGAAAGTATTAGAAAAACAAATTTGAAAGCACTAGCTCTTAATTATCTATGAACATAACTTAATAATATAAAAAAATGCCATAACCACAAATGTTTTTTGATAAAACGTTATACCTATTGAAATAACTAAAACAGTTAACACATCAAAGGACAAGTGGAAAATAATACAAGTAATTATAGAAAATATCATAAGCATACGAAACAAAAAATATATTATATTATAAAATTCTTTTATTTTATTGTATATTATATTTTATCATAAACAATTAAATTGGTTCAATATTAATATATAGAAAATTATACCTTCGGGAATGTAAGCAGAAAGTTGTTGTTAAATATTTCAAGTAACCAAGGAAACTGTACGTAAAGTGGATAGATAAACCAGGAATATAACCAGGAATACAAAATGTTCTTACGGGGTACAGAAATTTTAAGTTATTACTTTTATAATTAATATCATATAAATCTAGAACATAGTTTATTAAAAATATATCAATACAAGTTCATGCAACAAAAATCCATGCATACATATTTTATATGTCATAAAAAAAAAAATTAAGAATATGTGTACATTTTTGTGAAAAATAAGTAACATGTATATGCAGTTTTCTCTTTAAAGAAAAACATATTTTTCAACGTTTTTCTAATGATTGATATCGAAAAGTTTAGTGAAATATTTGCAACCCATAATTGAAAACGTTGAACGAAAAAATGATAGTTTTATGAAAAACATTCTTAATACAACAAAAAATCAATCGCTTATACATGCAGAACGCAGTGTTAAATAAATATCCTATCGATGCTATAAGTATTAAAGAATTAAAGTATTAAAGAAATGAATTTAAAGCACAATAATAAACTGACAGCTTAATTAATTTTTTCTTTTGGGATACTATTTTAATTGAGTTTCTTTTTTAGCATTCTATAATTTAAAATAGTTTAATTTATAAACTATTTTTTCTAGTTTGATACCTTAATTCGTACACATAACAAATAGTTAAATTTCCGTCAGCATCGAAAAATACCAGCGGGCTAAATATTGTTAGTGTAACGGATACTCTTAAAATATCATAATTTATTATTAAAGTTAATTATTTATAATTGTATCTTAAATGATTTAAAAATTAATTTATATATTTCTGCGTGAATACAAAAATATATCAGTTTAGACAAGAATGTAGAATTTTGAATATGTAAAATTTGCAAAAATAATTATATCATATTATAGAAATGTATTTTTCATGTTCTATACGTAAATTCACATTTTTTTTTTCTAAATGGAAAGCTTTATTAACTGTCGAACATAATGTTTTTATTTACCAATGTCTACATAATATTTTTTCGTATTGAATTCTATTCTTTGTACCTATAATTGTATAATAATAATTAAATTTACTGACTAAAGAAGTATACGACTGACAAAAGTGATTAATTGTTACATATAAATTATAAAGGGACAAATGGTATTATTGTAGTTACATTTTAAACGCCATGAACCATAAGTATTCGTTATTATTATCGATAAATTGGTTTCAATAAATTTAAATACCGTGATATATTATTAATTTTTATTGCAGAAATATGAATCGTTTGGGACACAGGTTAGTTAAACATTTAAAAAAAGGTTTATTTATATTCTTATGATACTTTTTTTAAAAAAAAAAAAAAAAAAGTAAAATAAATTACGCAGATCACTGTTTTTGCTGAAAAGCCATTACAATAGACGTACTGAGGTTTGCATTTTAAATATTTTACACTAAAGTATTTAATGTACATAATAAAATTATTTATAATGTATAAATACCTTATGTATATGAGTAATAGTTATCCTATAAATTTTTAATGATAATTATGTGAAATCAGTAAATTTAAATTAGTAAAATTTATGAACTGGAGTACAATTTAAAACTAATTCTAGATATGAAAACATATACGTTTACATGAATAAAACTCAATTAAAGATAAAATGTAGTTTAAAACAGTGTAAAATAATATTCATTTTAAAGCAGTACGTTTACACTAGTATAAATATTATAAGTGTTCGATTGTGCCCATTTTTACAATTATTAAATACAACTGAACTAAATTAAATTACTTGGATATAAATAATTTATGAGCGGAGCATTATTATTTACTATTTGTTTAACTTCCAAGCTATAATATTAAGCTGAACTTACGGTTTTAATGATTTAATATATTATAAATTTTAGTATATATATTTTAGTGTCAATCATTAGTTCTAAATAGTTTTAACAATAAATTATTAAGTGTGTTAGTAATAATACTATTTATTATTGAAAATGACAACAAAAAAAAAAAATCATTAATATTCCAAAGGAGTGATGAATTTAATTTAATGAATATCAAACTAAGTAATATCATTCAAATGTTTTCAAAATCGACACTTTTAATAATGTAGTTAAATTATAATTTAACATAGTTATTTGATTTATTAGTATATTAAGTTTACTTTTTCAGATTTTCTAATTTATAGAACAGAGTATGTTTACCAATTATTTTAGTTTTTTGTTTTGGTTATTATTGATATATAATGGTATATAATCCATAGCTAAAAATATATAGAAAAAATACTACAAGAAAAGTGTTAAAATAAAAATTGTTTTCAGGTCGGTTGTTATTTTATTATTATTATTATATTAAACATTTTGTTATCATTCTGAAATTATAAATACTATTTTAGCAAATTTATGAATACAATATACTTACATTTTAGATAAATTACAGAATAACGGCTGCAAATTATTTTTACTCACCTTTAAAATAAATTCAAAATGTTATCGTTCCTCAATCAATCGCATAACAGAAGAATACATTTCAATTGAATTTTAAATGTTTAAACTTTTTAAAAATAATGATAACAATATAACCACCAGTATTATTAAATAACTTTATTCAGGATCTTTTAGTTCAATAAAAGTTTACAAAAAAAAGAAAACATAATCCCGACATGCATTAATAACTTACGCAAATTCAAAACTAAATATCTTTTTCCAGAAATTGGATAGAAGTGGAATAAATGTTGGTGAACCTTTTTTAAAAGCCGTTACAATATAATTTTTTTCAGAAATGGAAAGAAAAAACTCTCGGGTTACATTCATTCAAAACATTGCATTGTAGTTTACTGTGAACGGGAAAAAAAATAATTTCAGATGAAATCAAAACACGCCTGGTGCACGTTGTGCTGTATGCAAATACTGTTAAATATTTTTAAAAAAAACGTATAAGAAATCGACCGTAGTAACGAGTAACAAAAAACTACGTTGGAAAATATCATACGAAAAAAAAAAATTGAATATTTAAAAACCGTACTGCTTTCGTTCCCATTGTAATTGTTTAGAATATTATGCCGACGAGTACGTGTGCAGGTATAGGTACGTTACATTGAACATTGCGGTATTTGCATAAACGATCATCTAAAAAAATACGTTACATGGTCATCGTGTTCACCTACCACGCGCGTCACGGGTACACTTAATATGGGAAAATTTGTGGTCACATTTTTTTTTCCAACTCACCTTAAACGCTCAAGATCTATATGAAATACTAAATTGAGTAGAATATTTCAAGAGTTCAAATATTGCCAACGATCGTACAAAATTAATAATTCTTAAATCAAAATTATACGTGTTCGAATCACTCGAAACGAAATTTAAAGTTCGATCTGATACGTGTACACCTAAAACGTTAGGTACCGAAATGGAATGGTAATGGGACCGGTTGTTTTGCGTGCGCAGGGTCACGTTAGGAATGGTTGGTCGGACCACACGGATGGAAATATCCGGAAGTGTCCGGAGTCAAATACCGTGATTTAATAACAAACAATCGCGTCGAAAACGGTCGCGGCGCTTTCGCGGTGCACTCACCGATCACGTATGAATAACCGTCCATGGTGAGCACGCATCTCTTGGTGTGGCTGGGCAGACGGGACGTTGGAACCTGCACCGTCTGATCCCGGAACCTCGGCCGAAGGTCTTCCTCGTTCATCTGCACGGCCGCGTCGGCTCGGCGGCCGTCCCCGTCGGGTTTCTTCTCGTTCGCGCGGCCCTCGGACGACCGTACCGTTTTCTGCCGGTCCGTCGCCACCCGCGGACGGTCCATTGCCGGAGCGGTAGCAAAAAGTGCCCGGAGACGTGCACGAATAGCCGACGCCCCGGACTTTGTTCACGCGTTCGTTCCTTACTGTGTGGACGTTCCTAAACGAACGGTCTCGGTTGTGGACCGCGACCTCGACCACGACCACGGTATATCGCGTGCGAACCGCGGGAACACGCGCGTTGGTTGGCCCGTACGGCGTGTGCTGTCGGTCGAGTGTCGCGAGCGCACTGCCCGAAGCGTCGGCGGCGGCGGCGGCGGCAGCGGCGGCGTCGGCGGCAGCGCTGCTACGGTGACGTGCGGCGCGTGATGGGCGGCGGGTGGACGAAATGCGCGCGCGGACGACGACGACGACGACGACGACAACGGACGACGGACGATGGTCGGGTGCACCGCGGTCGAAATCTGTCGCTGCGACACGCGCGTACGAAATCGCGACGACGTATTCTCGATGACGTTACGACGTGCGCGTGCGGTCCGTCACCTCCTCCCAATGCGTCGGGGTACACGTATACGAATGGGAGGGTTTTCCCCGTTCGCGATGGCACCGCGCACGCGCATTCTCGTCCGGTGTACGCGGTATATGGGCGTATTTAAGGGGGGAGTGGCGAAGGGGCGATCGCCCCCCCTCCTGAATCCGTATTTGAGGAATTTATTGTATTTTGTGAGTTACACATTTACCAAATTTTTCTAATGTAGATCGTCTTATAACGAAATCAAATTACGCGTGGCTGTGAATACTGAATTGGGCTTTTTGTCGGATCCATTACTTAGTGAAAAATCAAATAAAACTCAAACGTTACTTTCAAAACACAGACAGGTGTTAAAAAACTACTACACAAAAGTCGACTCTAAGTGGATCCGGCATTAGATTGAAAAAAAAAACTACAAATATTAAGGATTCACCTGATTTAGATATTATCAAAAATTTTAAGCCTAAATCAAAGAAAAAAATCAAGTCGGCCCCCTCCACCGGCCATAGACGTAAGTCTAGATACGTCGCTGAGTCTAAGACTAGCGTTTTTTCCGGCGGCCGACGAAAAAAAAAAAACCCATAATAAATTGGCAATCGAAACCCAACCGCGTCCGTAATTACACAAAGATAACGTACGAAACACTTATCGCAATCGGTGACTAGACCGATTCGCGGTACCACCGGGAAATCGGTCGGGAAATAACAGCTGGTACCGAAATAGTTCGCGGGCCCTAACACCGCACGCCTAATTGGTTCCCGTTTGAAAAAGGTATTTCATCAAGTCCAGCCGAAACCGTTTAGTTATGCACATTTTTCTTCTCAATTTTAAAGACTTCTTCGCACAAATAATCTCCATTCGATTTCACTTAAGTTTCACATTTTCGTTTTATATGTATCCACCTCTGTATGTTATACTCTGCAAGGTTCTTTTGAAACCCAAACTTGTTACTTTCAATATTCAACAACTTGGTCCCTTTTAACCAAACATAAATTCCATAATAACGAACAATTTAAAAAATATATATTTATTAAAATACAATCGATGTGTAGGCGAAAATAAATTTATATTAATGACGATGTGTTATTTGAGACTGTACAGTGCTCGCTAACATTATTTTCATATCCATACAGCCATATGTAAGTGCCAATATTTCAATTGTTATCTAAGGTTATCTAAGGCTAAGGGGGCATTAGCTCCCCCCCTTGGGACTAAGCTATCTATTTACAAAGCAAAGTATTATTATATATTAATAATTATAATAAAATATTATCCATGGTCATTGATGACTATGGTACCTATTTTATTTATTTTTTTTATACATAAATAGCTCACTTTTGTTGTTAATTATATGTATTTACCTATATTTTAAAATGGTTTCAGGTTAAAATTGATACCAATAATGTAACTATTTAAACTTTGTTATTATAATGAAAAAAATGACTTACTTATGAGGGTCTCAAAAAAATATTTTGTAATTTAAAATTTTATATAGATTTAAAAAAACCAACTAACTAAATTTTTAAACCTCCATTAGCCCCTCCCTTGATTAGTGATAAAACCCGCCCCTGATCTACTTTGCTAAACCTCCAATATAACAATATATCACCATTTTATTACGTAAATACTATAAAGTGTAGGTACATTTATATTTTATACCATCCAATACATATTTATTACCAAATATGTTTGTACAACCTAACAATTACTAAAAAAATAAAAAATAAAATGTTAACTATTTGGACTGAAAACAAACGGGAATTTATTCAGATCGACTTAATAAAATACCTTCTTTAATTGGGAACCAATTCGGTTAAATTTAGAAAAATACCTTTTTCAAAAAATTACCGATTCGGTTACTCCAAAAAAAAAACGCCTCGGAGACGCCACCGATAACGTTAGTTCGTACGGAGCCGACTACGATGTACGTTTTCGATGGTCGACTCTCCGTACGTTTGTTATTTTTTATTTATTTATTTTTTCATTTCAGAGCTGAAAATTCAAAAACAACAAATAAAATGTATTCCATCGGAAAATTGATTTGAGAAGTCTAGAACCGTCTATATACATGGAATATAATGTCGAGTCGCGATAACTCGAAATTGAAGATGGATAAAAATTCACTTCGAGATATGTATAACTCGAGATATCAAACTAATTTAAAAGGGAAGAATTTTCTAGGGGAATAAAACACAATTCGAGTTGTCAAGTTTTTCGAGATATCGCGACACGACTGTAGTTTCAAATTAATGCATGAATAGGGATTATGAAATATTCTTGTTAGCCGAAAGCAACCAAAACTGTACTCCGTCCAAAATTTTCAATCTTTCAGCTGCTGAAAAATAAGAAAAATTACTGATCTGGACTGAAATACTTATAGTAATGTTGATTGGTTTGATTTTCACGATTATATTAGATACGATTTTTTCGAAATCGACCAACATAATACTATTTATAAAATATATATCAAATCAATAAGGATTCAAGCGCTTTTTAATCAAATTCATTTGGACGTTTAGTTTTCGGCGACCGATAAGACGCATAGAATGAACGGTCATTTTTAGTCGTGGGTTTGTCACTGACAAAATGCCTAGTGTGATCCAAGCCTTTAGGGTGGCAAATAATTTCAAATCAATCGTCGAAAATTTTACAAAAAAAAAAATCTGATAAAATATATTTTTCATTAAGTTTGTAAAATAATTTTTTTTTTTTAACTAACAAAACGTTTTTGTCGATTATTCTGCTCGACGCACCCGGTGTAAACTCAGCATTTTTTTCCTCACAAGCTTATAGAATATATGGCACGGCATATTGGTCGACACTTGTGGAAACGATCACGTTTGATGTGCTTTTGAAAAGTGAAATGCAACGCGCGATTTTCTTCTTATCAACGAATCGTTCTTGATTAGGTACCTTTACTACTTGTGTTGGCAATTGTAAAAATTTATGTTGTGAGCTCACATTGAACATTATTTTCGGTTGCATGAAAAATTGGATGAATCTATCTTCTAAAGTCTTCTGAGGTCGACTATGTGCAAGTGTTGAGAATCGCTACAGTAAAGTGTCTATAATGAAGAAATGTAATTTTATTTTTTTATTCTGCTAGTGAACGTAAATCGATTGCAATATCTTCTAATATTATGTAGAAGTCAAATATTCTTTTTGCAAAATGCTTCTTGGATCAATATATTTTCACTATTACCTGGCAATAACAATTAAATATAATTTAGCCTCGACACTAATTAATTTCGATTTTCGTCGTATTACATTGTCTGAATGTAACGTAAAACATCCTATTATGCCTATAATCCTGTTTCAATGGTTTTACTAATCAGACGTGATTTGTTGAATTAAAATTACTCGTTTACTGGAATATTTTTATTAGATATATATCACTTTTGTAGGCGGTAGAAACTCGAACGATTCGTTATTCGTTCATTTAATATGCGTTTTCATCATGTTTTCTATTTATTATACTCGACACGTACTTCGTATTGGATCGTAATAAATCTTTGTAATTAATTGTTGTTTGGATTTACCTAAAGTATATGTTAAGGTTTATCATTGTTCAATTGAAAACTGTGTATCTTACATTTTCAGTCAACTTTTAGTTGAACGTTGGTCGATTCTAAAGTTTCAAAATATGTTTTGAATATTAATTTCGGTTGTAAATATTTTTTAACAACTCTTCAAATTATTAAATTATCGATGATGAAATCAATAGAAAAATATGATTTATTTTATATTGCTCATAAGATGCGTCGTAATGTGGTTCAAATATTTTATCAAAGATTTTCAGTCGAGGTAATGTAATAAACAAATATAATTAGTCTCATCAGTATCAATTTTATTATACCCACTAATATATTTAATTCTTATTTCTTTACACTTTCTCTCAAAATTGAGCAGATCGGATATTGGCTTGAATGTTTCGTGAAAATAATTGACAGAAACATTACAAACGTTAGCATTCAATATAACTAGTGAGAAAATAATTATATCTCGGAAAAATCGATTTATGGTTTAAGCGGTACACAAAAATTGAAAAAGCATACGAGTGGTTTACCGTTTAAAAGTAAAAATATTTTGTAAAAACTTGGTTATCGATCAAAATAGAATGTACGCAAGTGGTGTTTTAGAAATGGAATTTCAGTTAAATATATGGACATAAAAATAACGAAAATCAAATATCAATCACACTTTCCGAATAAAACATTATGAAAATTATGAAATACATATGTTCGACATCCATACCAATCGTACTTATATGAAAGTTGTATTTCTATTGAAAGAAAATTTATTTAAAATCGAAAATATTCAATAATTGTTAATTTTTTTTGTTTTCAATAAATATGAATAGAAATTAAATGTGGAAAATGACGAATAGACTTCGAATCATTGATATTACGATGTTTATATCGTTTTATAAAAATTACGATATTATGAGAAACGAGAATGAAATCCAATAGGTTCAATTAACCATCTCACCAAATATTTTATTTTTATTTATTAATATGTAATTATTATTTAATGAAAATAAATGAAAGAAATAAAAAAAATTTATATATTAATGTTCATATACACTTTAAAGCAAAACGATGCATGAACGTCCTCAACCACTGTATACGTATTACTTCATTACTCAAACCATCAGTTTTATAGGAATTACCACGTATTGTTTTTTTTTTTTTTTAATTTAATGAGCTTTTGCCAATTAAGCATTACGGCTCCTCGCATGACCTGATTATTGAATATATATCTTTAAC